CTTCCACCTGATCGTCTCGCTGTACGTGGATCTTTTCTTGCGCTTCCTTGGCTGCCTTCCGTTGGCGGACTGCCACGAATTCCTTCCATTTATCGAGGTCCTTGCCTCGGCTTTTCACTGTCGGTTTTCCGGGCGTTTCCTTCGTTCTTTTTTCTACGTGGTTCCCCCCGTCGTCGACTGGAGGTTCCACTCGCACAATGTTCACCCCGACGCTCACGATTTTTGGTGTTTCAATCGGTCGTTCGGGTGGCGCTTAGGTTGCTGTCGCCTGTGCCCCGCATGTTGGAACCGTGGCTTCGTGCTCTTTAGGTACTGTCGTTCCAGTCATGGTACCGCTCGTCGATAGAACTGGCTCGCCGTCTGGGAACCATAACGTATCAATCTGCCCGTCGTCTATCCTCTCGGCAGACCCGTCGTCCTTTCGTTGTCGGCTGAAGACCGTAACGACCTTGGTTTCGCCCGCCTGCTTCGGTGGCCGCGCATCCCGCACGGTTATTTCCCCGTCATGTTCCTCAACGCGCCAAGCCGGCGCTGGTCCTCGTTCCGCTAGGCCTTCTATCACGGCTGTCTCTACGTAGACCTGGTTATCCCGGTATTCCACTGTCACCCGGAACGGCTTTCTCGTACCGTCCTCGCGATACGGCCATCGCGCCGTGGTAATCAGGTTCACGTTCGCAATGTCTTTCTCTCCTCTCACGTCACTGCGCACCGGGACATCGTGCATCACCCGCACCATCCTTCCGCTGATCCTGTCGCATTCGGCGACCGCTTGGACCACTCGACGCACTTCGTCCAACTGCGTCTGGGCCTGCTCCGGGGTGTACAGCTGGTCCGGCGGGATATCGTGGACGTATCTCTCGATTCCCTCGAGCATCTCGTTCATGAGCACCTGATGCGACAGGTATCTCTGACGCTCCCGTAGAGTTCGCAACGCCGCCTCGAGCCTTCGGCTTCTTTGTTCCGGCGTGAGTTTTCTTATCGGGATCTGCTCTAGCGGGGTGCTCGGCCTCCGGTCCATACTGTTCGGATTTGTGTCGCTACCCGGCTTCGGAGTCGAACACCTGACAGGTTCGCCGGATTGCCGGGCGCGATCGCCTTGGTTGTCCGCGCTCGTCGCGGCACTCTCCGCGGCCCCTTGGGGTCGCGAGCGTCCGTCCGTGCTGGGAACCTCTGCTATCGTTGCGTCGGGATGTTTGCGACTAGGGTTGCGGGTGTTCTTTCCACTCGTCTCCGGATCACCCGGCTGGTCTTTGCGCTGTATCTTCGCTTCGGAAACGTCCGTCAGTTGCCGCTGCATACCGTTCACGCACGTCAGACCGTCGTCTGACCACTTTACCTTTGTGTACGCTCGGTCACTTTGCTTCGCCCTCGTGTCGCGGATCACTCGTCTCCTCAGTCTCTTTATGCGCGTCTGTTTGACGAACTTCAAAATGTCCCATCTCTTCCGCGCGCTGCTCGCCTTCCTCCTCGTCCTGCGGTTTCGCGTCTTCGGTCTCGCGTGGCGCACTCCCCACCTTCTTCTCATTTGCCCCGGCGTTGGCCTGAGTACTGGGGATCTTTCGTACAGTATTTTAATTGACGTCTCCATATTCGCCGACACGTTTGTCGGCTCCTCCACGGACATGTTCACGCTGCTTTCGTCTTGATGTGGCGTTATTGGTGTTGTGCCCCTTTTTGGGACACTTGGGATTCGATCTTTCCAAGGAGAAGGCGGGAGGTAAATGACTAACACTTTTGGATGCAATAAACACGACTTTTACTAGTTACTTCTCTTTTACAACTTATTTCGTACAAGACCCGTTCGTCGCTCCCCGACACACATTGCCCTCTCGTCTCCTGTTGTCGCTTCCTTTTCAATCCTCGTCTTGTCCTTCAATATCGCTGAGTTGCTCGATCGTATCTGGGCCGATCGCGCAACTCATCTTTTGCTGATTCGGCGTTGCGTAATTCTCTCGGGCTTTTGCGGTCGCGTTACCTATTGTTATTTTCGGTCTTTCTTAACGCTATTCTTATTTTATTATAACATTTTAATTGGGGCCGCAACATCCCTCCCCCTTTGAGAGAAGGAAACTACGGTCTGTAGTTTTCGTTACAATTTTTTCGCTGCTTATCCTATTTCTATTTCTATTAGGGTGATTTATTTTCCTTATTTGTTTCTGAGATTACATTCTTCTTATTTTTTAGTATAGTATCGCTGAGTCGCCCTGTCCGTGCGGTCGGGCGTTTGCTCGCTTCTTATGTCTTTTTATTACATAGATGATTATTCCTACTATGCTTAATATAATTATTAACGTAAGTGTCGATCTTACAGGATATATGACGTAGGGATTTTTTATTAGGGTGTCTTGGGATTTTTCCAATTTTTTATTTATATCGCTTATTTCTAGACTTAACTCCATTAATTCGTTCGGATTCCTAATTACAGGTTCTAATCTAATTTTTTTTTTCGCTTGTTCGTTAATATTTTTATTTTTGTTTGTTAGCGTTAGGTTAAAATCTGCTAGGTGCATTTTTATTTGTCTCATAGTCGTTTGTCTTTTTGTTTTTATAATAATGTCGGGTGTGGTTAGTTTATAATTTTCGTTTATACTTAGTTTTCCTGTTCGTTCGATTTCTACCTTTTGTTCCGCCTGATCGTTACATTGGATCGCTATCTTTTGTTTTCTCGGCGCTGAGAACAGCCACGCCTGTGGTTCGCTCAACGCTACCCACAAGGTTACGTCTGACACCATTTGCCGCCTCTCACAGGCGTTTACATATCCCGGCGTCCCCACATAAACTTGCACTTCGCATGGTGCGTCGGCCCCCACAAAATATACCGGGTAGTTTCGATCACATACGTACTCTATTCCGTTTCGTTTACAGTCGTTTAAATCGCGTTCCTCTAGCGTTATGTAATTATGATTCTGACACGGGGTATGCTACCACGGGAAATTTGATTATCGTATAAATGTTCGGTTTATCATAATATGCGTTAATTTCTACATAGTTTTGTATCTCGTTCCAATTTTCTACTCTAGTTTTAAACGGAAAGTGGGATCCCTGCGTCAATTGTGACGTTGCCTCTTTTAGTTCGGTTATTATTTTTTCTATTGGTAATAGGCGGGTGAGTATTACTCCTTCCCGCGAATATGTGAGGTAGTCTATTGTGTCTTTCACGTCTTCCATTAGATCCTCTGTAATTGTGGTTAGTATTGAAAGCTGTTCGTCTATTTCTTCTCTTTTGGCGTACAGTGCTGTTTCCAGCTGTATCCGTCTCGTGACGTTCGCCATCAGTTGTTCGTTGTGGTATAACGATTTTTCTAAGGCCTCCATGTGGCCTATCGTGGCATTCATCACCTTTAATTGACTTTTAGCGGTGTGCCGTAGAGTCTGTTGCTGATTTTGTATCAGTTCAAGCTGCTCCTGTATGTGTTTTGCGTCGTCGGCATCCATAGTGCCGAACAGCGTTTTGCTGATCGTGCCGATCGCGTCTATTAACCCTCGCTTATTATTAGTTGTTTTATATATAGTCTGTAATCGCGTTAATAATTGCGTTAATTTTTTGTTATTTTTCTCTATTATGTGGAGAATGTTTTTGCACGTCTGCTGCGTGTCCTTTGCGATTATCGTTTCGCATACTTCTTCGGCTTGCTGTAGAAATTCCTGAAGTTGGTGATATCGGTTTCCTAGGGCTGCTACGTCGATTTTAATTGCTAGTTTCCAAGTAGCTTCTACCTGTTGCATTTGTCCGATTCTCTCAAAGTATATTCCCGGCTCGCTGCTGAATTGTCGTATCTCGTACGATGGTGCTGTCTCAGGTTTCGCTTTTTTCGCGAAGTGCTGGACGACGATCAGCGTCCTGTAAGATAAGGACTCATGTTACCTTTCTTCGAATTTTTACCTTGGCTTGATAATGCCTTCTCCTCGCGTTTTTTCTCTCCTCGCGCGTTTAGTTGCTCTTGCGACGTGATTCAGAGAGAGTACTTTTTGTTTGCGTTAATTGTGAAATGAGGTGCCGTCTGTGCAACCATTTTTTTGTCCCGACGACGTGCGACGCATGTTGGCGCACGTATTGGTTCCGCGCTGCTTGTGCGGGTGCCGTAAGTGAGGGTGCCGCGCTTAGTGCGCGGATTGCGGCAAATTTGGGTTCGGGGCCGACGTCGCCCCCTCCCACCTACGCAGAAGCGTTGCTAACGCCCCCGGACACCTGGGTGCATCTTCTCCACCCCCTGGAGGTCACCTTGGATGTGGCCACCGGACGTCGTGTGGTGCGACGTGTTTGATGTTCGGTAAGTACTTATTGTCTAATTTTCGTTAGTTTTTACTATCGCCTATTTTCTATTGCTTGTTTTTGTTCTTCTACGCTGTTTTTACTGTTCTATAAAGGGCTTTAAGGCTGATCTACAATGTGCTCTTTGCTTCTTGTTTTGTGTTCTCTGCTTCTTGTTTTTTGTTTCTCTGATTTTTGTCACATGGAGTCAAGGAACATCGCCATGTACAATTTGTCTCTTCTAAAATTTCTGGAGAAACATGTTACTTTACACAGACCAATCACAGGTCGATATTCATAGTCCGTTCTTATGTTACGACAGTATTCTTATTGGCTAACGATGTTTAAGGCAATACCTAAGATGTTAATATATGAACGAAGCGTCCTCCGTCTACAATAATTTGCTGACGCGTGGCGAGAAGTACTCCTACACGTGCTCATACTGCCCGTCACTGCTCGAAAATATTCAAGACGCGGTTGCACCTGGCTTGATAGTTCTTGCGTAATCTTCTTGTATACAGTTTCGTAGCATCGCAACTCCTGGTAGGTCAAAGCTTCTAATGTCAAAGCAATGCTACGGACCTACGTGGATCATAACCCTCATCGTATTGCTTGATTATAATTTTTATCTTTGTTTATCGGCAGGATTGTAGCAAGATCTTTTGCGTGTCCTTGCTGTCTGACCTTTTACATGCGCACACACACACACACACACACACGGGTGTACGGCCCTACGCATTGTGACTTGTGGCAAACGCTTTAAGGCGTTCTCCGTCTGCAATAATTTGCTGACGCGTGGCGAGGAGTACTCCCACACGTGCTTATACTGCCCGTCACTGCCCGAAGACATTCAAGACGCGGTGCAACTGACCGGTCACAAGAACAACTATACAAAACTAATGTTTGAATAATAACTAAAAATGGACGAAGAATCATTAACTGTCTTGCTTATTGCTCAATGTTGGAATCTTTGTGTAATGTTATTGCTTGCAAAAATGCAATTAAAGAAAAGAAGGATCAGGCGTTGGTGGGTAAGACCAGTTAATTATTCTCGAGAGAATCAAGGAGTCTATAGAAACCTGTTTGGAGAATTGAGAACTACAGACCATGAAGAATTCTTCGATTATACACGCATGAATGTGCACCAGTTTGATTATCTTTGTGATTTGCTGAGACCATACTTAACTAAGCGAAGTATCAGAACTCCATTGCCTATACAGTTACGCGTGGCCATGACTCTTGAGTAAGTACATTTCCTATTTCTATGTACCTACTAATGTTAAGGTATCTGTCACTAAGTCTTACGTTATTTTCTTAAAGGATACTAGCCCGAGGGACATCAGTTAGGACGTCTTCATGGAGTTATAGAATTGGGCGTTCCACTGCACATAAAGTGTTCAACGAAACCTGCAAGGCTTTGTGGGTAGCTCTTCAACCGATATATCTGCAGGCACCAACAAGAGAGACTATGATGCAGATATCTGAGGATTTCTTCAACCGATGGCAGTTTCCCAACTGTGTCGGAGCGATTGACGGCAAACATATATCGATACAGTGCCCTCCAAAAACTGGCTCTCAGTTTTACAGCTCTTACAAAAAGAGATTTTCGATAAATCTCATGGCTGCATGTGATGCTAAATACCGTTTTACATGGGTGGATATTGGCGATTACGGTGAGTACTCCTTGTACAACAATGATTGAGATACTATACATTGCATTACATTGCATTATAATAACTTAGGGAACCTTTTCTTTTATTTCTCATGCAGGATCTTAAAGTGATGGAGGTGGGCAAATTGTGATTTTGGTCAAGCACTCGATGCAGATGAAATTGACTTTCCTCCTCCAAAAGAGATTCCCGGCAGTAATGTCACCCTCCCCTTCACTTTTGTTGCCGATGAAGCATTCCCACTTGGTATCCATATGATGCGCCCATATGCCAGATCTTACAGAACTTTCGGCGATGAAGAAAGGATATTCAATTACAGGCTTAGTCGTGCTAGACGCGTCATTGAAAATGCGTTTGGGATCATGTGTTCAAGGTGGCGTATCCTGAGAAAGGATCTGTGCAGCTCAGTAGAAACAACGGAAGACATTGTAAAAGCAGTTGTGTGCCTTCATAACTTTCTCATGATATCTGAAGACGACTTAGCACCATCAGAAAGAACCTACTGTCCTGCATTTATGGTAGATAGGGAAGGAGTATATGGAGATGTTATTGAAGGTGAGTGGAGGAGAGATATATACAGAGGACCGATCACTGATGTTGGACGACTTGGGTCCAACAATCCTACAGTGAGAGCTGACGCTCAACGAAACATTCTGAAAGATTACTTTTGCTCAGACATTGGCCAAGTGGATTGGCAGTGGGAACAAGCACTTCACCGAGTTTAGAATGTAGGCACACACATAATACACGATAATATAATATGTACATGTACTAGTCTAAGTTTGCGTATAATATTCAACGTATAATTGCGTATAATATTCATGATTTGATCCACGTTCTGTTGTCTATTGTAATAATTTCCATTTTTCAATATTCGATTAAAGTTAATATAGAGGGTTGCGCGATTACAATCGTCTTCAGGCTACGGTGCCTACGATTCGTCCACGAGATCCTTGGGCAATATCGAAATCTTAAATATATCGTACATTTTATATCCAACGAGAAATATGTTCCCGAATAAGCAATCCTGACGAGCTTAATAAGATATTTCTTCCATTTCGGATGACTTGCGGAGTTAAGCAATTCTAACGAAATTGCTAATAGATAATAATTTACAGTTGCCGCTGTGTCCGCTCGTTGCGACGATTAACGTGCGCTCAATCGCATCTCGACTTGAAATATATCTCGCAAAACAATATCTCATTTTCCTGTTATTGTTGTTGGCAAAATACCTCGGGAGAGGGTCTCACTTTATTTGATAATTTTTGTCATGAGCGCGAATGGAAATTCTAGCAGTTGTAACAGGGGCTCTCCGGAGCGTTGGCGAAGTTTTTTCGCGTCTACGTCCGCGTTCGGTCCAAGCAAAATGCATTTCGAACAGCTCTCGGCATCTTGAAACCGCTAAGTCACATCGCGCCTACATATAGCCGTGTAATTAACAATAAGTGAATACTGTGTGATACAATAGCAATATAACGATCGATTAAATTCGAATAGATAGAAAAAAAGAGAGACAACGGCCGGCGACTATCACTTGCGCGAATCATCGTTACGATCTTATTACGTACATACAATAAATATAAAGACAAAAGGAAAAAAGAAAAAAAAAAACACGGACAAAGATTTGATATAATGTTATGCGTCCGTTAGTTTTGATTTCGCGTGCGATATTATCTGTCGGTTTCATCTTCGTCTGGGACGACCTCGCGATTAATCACTGCAAATACTACATAGCTCGCCCGACGAGTGTTCGTCAAAAACAAAAGCGTTATCGAGTTCTCGTCTCTCGTTGAACGGCGATCTCTTATTTTGGACTCGCTTTTTGTACGTTCGTTCAATCTCTAATGTAATATATATACATGTACTACTTAAAGTTTGCGTATAACATTCAATTTTGCATAATATTCATGAATTTATCCACGTTCTATTGTCTTGTCATAATGTAGATTTTTGCATTATAATATTTTACCGCTTAACTAAAGGTAATGAACACTAGTATGCGTAAGTATACGTATGAAGCTTGTAAAAATTGGGAAATAAATACTTTGTATATTTAATAATCACTTTTATTTATTTACCCAAAACTGTAGCCTTAGCATTACAAACAAAAAAAAATACTGACATCAGGTACTGAAGTTTGTACTTTGGCTAGGAACATTGCACTTCTAAATAAGTACATACAATAGGAACATTCGTCCACAAAAACGAAAACTATGAAAAAATTAAACGCTAGTTATTAGTAACTTTAAAAAATATCCTCTTATACTTTATATTAGATATGCATAAATGTGTAAGAAATTAAAATGTTATTAACAACTCAAAAAGTGACACATTATGTAAACGCAAAACAAATATGTTATATCTATCTAAAAAATCACATTTTTTGTAATTATGTTGCATATACGTTATATATCTATATATATTATATATGTGTATATATATTAAGTGTAAATATATTTTGTAGCAAATCCAAAAATTCCCAATGTGCCGGACAGTTTTTGAACCTGTCTTCAATATTATTGGTGGCCGAGCGAAGAAGGAATTACAGATTCTCATCACTTTCAACTTCTCTCATGTTCTGGAACTTATCCACAACAGATAAACATTGCATATAACATTGGATCTTGTACTTGGACTTTACTCTTTTCAACGCATAAAGTAATGCCTTTGCCATTGCTGCTTCTTCTCCACTATCGTCATTATCGACAGGAGTGACAGATTGTGAACGCTTTTCTGATAAATTATTCACGAGCGTGTTTATAGAATCAGTCGTATTGGTTATCATTTTAGACAGATGTTCCTGCTCTTTACGAGACTCCTTCATCTTCTGAATTGCAGATTGGTCAGGTGGTGGATAAAGTAAATTCTTCCTTGCAATACTTAATGGCCTTAGCTGACCAACTGAACTTAATGACCTTGCCTGACCAACTGAACATAATGACCTTGACTGACCAACTGAAGATGCTGAAGATGCTACAGATGCTGAAGATGCTACAGATACTGGAGATGCTACAGATACTGGAGATGCTATAGATGCTGAAGATTCTGAAAATTCTTTTTCTAGCGGTAGAATTGAAACATTTGAGTCATCACTCATTAAAAGATCTATATTCCACAGATTGCTAGACGGTGATTCAGATGGTGGCTGCATTGTTGACTGTAGTACAGATTCTGGTGTTGACGGTAATGACTGCACTGCTGACTGTGGTGCAGATTGTGATGTTGACGGTGATAACTGCCCTGCTGGCCGTAGTGCAGATTGTGGTATTGATGGTAATGACTGAGTAATTATACTTCTTCGCACAAAGTTGCTTGATGTATTGCGGTGGGCCACATGTGGTGCCAAGAAGGAAAGGGCCTGGTACAAGTACCATGTCTTCCGTGGTCTCTTACAAGTATCATTCCCTGTACCTGATGGCTCATACATATTCTCAAGACGGTGTTCTCGAGTGAATTGGTTGCGAAGCATTTTCCACTGTTTCTGAATTGCATCCACTGCAAAATAGAGTACACTATAATCTCTCCAACGTAATCTAATGTAAACCTAGAATCATGCAACCATCCAGTATTCATATATGTATGTACAAACTATACTTTTATTTTACAATTAAACTTTTTTTGTTTACTTACCCGGCATATTACAGGCGAGTGCGATGGACATCCATGTATCGGCGACAAACTTCTTATCTTTATAATCTTTGGATTTTTTATCATAAAGGCAAGGATGTTGTCGAACGAAATTAGCAAGCAATTCGCCAAAAGCTTCATCCACCTAAATATCTTTATTTTCCTTTTCTGAAATGCTGCTTTTTGGTTATGTCGTAAGCTCACCTCCGACGTGACCGTCGTCGTTCTACGATTTTTTGCGTACGCGTATTCTTCTTTAAACTACACAATATAAATAATCCGTTATTACCTTTGTTACATTTAAAAAATAAGCTACTTACGTGAATAGAGTGAAACTGCCTCGTTCTACTATTGACGATTTCTGCAGCGTAGCACATGACTTTCGTTTTCTCGTTCTCTCAGTTTTCTGTCGCCCCAGATAGAAGTTGACGAACTCAAGAAGAGACAAGAAGCACGAGACAAGAAACAGGATTGTCGGTAAAACAGGGCGTGGAGAAACAGAGAAGTAAGAAGCAAAAAGCAGAAAACAGGAAGCAAAGAGCACATTGTAGATCAGGCTTTAATCGGTTTACGTGTACTCGCGTGGTTTTCCGTCCCTTTTTGATTGTGTAATTTACGTCTGAGTGTTTTTCAATTACTTCGTACGGTCCTATTCACGGGGATTCTAATTTTTTCGATCTCCCTCTACGCACCGTTTTGTCGTGCAAGAGAACTTTGTCTCCCACTCGGAAATTAATTTCTTTTGTCTTCTTATCATACGTCTCCTTGGCCTTAGATTTTTCGTTTCGCAAATGTTCTTTTGCAACTCGTTGTGTCGCTCTTAATTTTTCTTTTAGCTCTTGCGCGTAATTGTCATAAGTATACGTTGGTTTCGGTGGTTGCGACAGTGCCGTGCGCCGTACCGCGTGCCGTCGAAATCCGAAGAACGGGTCGCGAGATAGAGTACCGTCCGGTAGATCGCGACGCGGACGTCATCGCCGAGGAAAGACCTCGGAAAGCGGGATACCAGGTCCCAAGAACACGTCAGGATGGGTCGGCGACGTCGGCAGACGTGGTGCTCGTCACCCGGACGTCTTCCCCGGGGAAGTCGCCCGGAATCATAAAAGGCGTGCGAATTAAGCATAGGCGCACAGGTCGGCGTCAACGGCGGACGCATATTCGAAACAGTGGAAAACTACTATCCTGGCGTCAGGACGGCAGGGCATCGCGAGCGCAACGCTCATGGAAATTTTCATGTAGACCCGCGTAAACACCGGAGTGGAAAATTACCGAGACAAACATGCGCAGTTAAAAAGCTTCTCGAAGGAAAAAGTCGTAGGGGGCGCCGGAGTGGGGGCTAAATAGCCGATGGCAGGGAGGCCGAGCGAGACGGGCCACTCGAGGCAGTCTCTCGGGGATAGTTCACGGAGCAAAACGTAATTTCGCGTACACTCTCGTTGTCGCGCCAAGTCCCGCGATCGTAATCCGAGTGCGCAAATCGTAATTTCGTAACTTCCATAACAACCGGGAACGCCCGCGAAACGCGTTAATTATCGTTTTTACATAAGCGAACGGCGAATTAGTGCCGAAAAATCTTGTGCGTCGTAACGAAAAGGGGCGTGTCAGCCCGAACGTGTGATCGTCCGACAGATTGTGTAACTTCGATATTTGTGAACAACTGTGAATGAAAATCAGTCAAATTGAATAAATCATACAATCTTTTGTCAAAAAATTCTTGAAAATTATTCGATTGGACTTACCTTCTGTACCATACCTGATCCATTGGCGTTGATCACTCGAAGTCCCTCGTTGATCCTGGAAGACGGTGGCAGCGGCGATCCTGGACGGCGACGGCGATGACCCTCATGTGGCAGGAACCTGAAAAGAAGAATAATTAGTCTGATTGAAAATTCGATAGATACTTACCTTCTCGGTATATCAGAGGTCAAACCGAATGGCGACCGTTGAATTCAAGGACACCCCGCGTTGATTCGTGTCTCCCCACGTACCGTCCGGTTACAACCTAACCTTGCGACCGTGCGCAAGCGCGGTTCGCATCGCGAAATCCCAGGCGCCTAAAGTCATGCTGCGGCGTCTTTCGGAGGAGGCGGTGCGGCTGTTGGCGAGGCAGGCGGAGCCGGACAGCGCAGCCGTGTCGATTGCGGAGACGGCAACGGAGCCGGGACCGGCGTGCGAGGCGACGGTCTCGGTAATACGGAGTCCGGGGATCCAGGAGCGGGGTCCGACTCCGACCGACGAGCTGGGTCTGCTGACAGACCTGGGCCAGCTGAAGGAGATCGTGGAGATGCTCGAGGCCGAGCTCCCCGAGATCCCTGTGGTGGAGGTACGCGCTCTCGAGGCGGTAGAAGGCGAGCGCATGGCAGGGGGCGAACCCGTGGCGGAGGACCATGGGTCCACAATTTCCTTCCGCAGTCCTGAGGGCAGCAGCGGATCGGAGGTGGACGAGGCGGAGCCACGTCCCAATTAGTTTTTAAGTCAAGCGTTCGCGTCCCGAGGATGGGGTTACCGGCAGCTGCCGTTATTGATTTTTTGTTTGTTTTGACGATTCCGATCATAGGATTTTTCTTTTAGTTCGTTTGGCGTGTTAACAGGAAAGAGAGCGGTCCCATCCGGCGCCTAATTAAGTATAAGTATATCGCACCGCGCCATTAGATTTTAAGTTTAATTTAGTTGAGGCTCAAGCGACATCACCCCTCGAGAAGAAGAATAAAGGTCGGTTTATTTTTTTTTATTATTACGCAATTTTGTTTCATTCCCGTCGGCGCGGGTACGGGAGGTCGTGCGGCGGCACGACAGGGCTTGAGCCCGACCACACTTTCCAGGACAGAGGAGGCTCCCGTGCGGACGATCGGGATGCTTCCGCGTAGTATGACGGACGGATCGTGACGGTTCACGGCACGGGAGAAAGAAGCATAACAAAGTTGGCGGACCGTCCGCAATTTTAAAGACTATGCGACAAACACGTAAAACTAACAGCTATGATCGCAAAAGTAGACCCGCGAAACGCAATAGGCGCGTCAGAACCGAAATCCGTCCAGCGGTAAAAAAGATGGCGGACCGTCGGGAATTTTTTGAACCGACGGCACTGCGATAGAAAGATACGTCTCTGACGAGGGCACGGGGTCCCCGAGTCACGCATACGGGGTTGGCGACGCGATATGGGGACGCGGACAGGAGATAGCGAACCGTCCGCGAAATTGCGACAGGCGCGTCGTCTACAGGAGTTGGGCACTCCTGACGTCGGGAAGCACTTCGCCGAGCCCACGAAGCCGGGTCCCGGTGAGACCCGTTGGCCGGGTAACGAAATGGCGGACCGTCCGGGAGCTCGCCCCAGGTGAGTCATCCCCGGGAAACAGACATCCCTGACGAACGGGGACGTCCCCACGGACGTCCGTGTCCGGTCGCCGTCGAAATCCGACGACCGGCAACGAAGTTACAGAACCGTCCGCCATCTCGCGACCTGGACATCTTCTGCGGAAAAAACCGCGGGAAGTATCGTACTAGGTCCGAAATAAGCGTCAGGAGGGGTCGGCGTCGTTTCTCAGGGAAGTCGCCCGGATGGAAGTTGTGGAAGTCGTAATAGACCTGGCGCACAAGTCGGCGTCAGCGGCCGCGCAAAATTTGCCGAGTTGAAAAACCGCTACCCCGTTGCCAGGACGGAGCGACCGCGCGAGCGCAATGCGCGTGGAATTTTCCACGGGGTCCGGCGCAAACGGCGTAAACACCCGCGTGGAAAATTACCGGAGTCTAATGCGTAGTTAGCGGCAGGAGAAAGCGGAATAGACGTTGGAGTAGGGATATACGACACCGATGATGGGGAGCTCGAACGAGACAAACAACTCGAGGCAGTCTCTCGGGGATGTTCGAGCGTATAACACGTACTAATAGAATTTTTTCTTGGCTGCACTACCGCCCACTAGTGCAACACTCAGGCAGTGTAGCGTGTTTCCATGGTTGGTGGCAAGCGAACTTATTCGGTGTAATGTGTTTCCGTGGCTGCGGTGTAGTGCAAATTTTATGCACGAAGTGTGATTTTGCTACACTGTCTCAAAGAGACGGTGTGGAGCGAGTGTGACTTAAATTATAAACATGGAAACCAATCGGGAAGAAGATTTTAGCACAATAATGAAATGTATCAATATATTATTTTCATCGAGTGAAGAAGAAGACGACGAAGAATTCTTGCAGCTCGCAATTCTGCGTGAAAGAAATAAAATCCCAAAATTAAAAAATTTTGTCACTGTTGTTCGGGAATATTCAGATAATGAGGTTAGTATTGAAAAATTTTCCATTTAATTGGTAAAATATAAATGGAATGTGAAAAAAATATGGAAATAGTGAAAATGATCATTTTCTTCCATTTGTAATAGAATTTTTTGGCAAAAGTATGTTATTTTAAATCCATTTTTATCTATCTGAATCCAGATTCTGATTCACATATATGGTTGAACGGAATTAAAAACAGTTTTGTATGAATGACCATATAAACTCTATACTACACTATCATTTATGTATTGAATCAATTAAAAACTGCAAAAATATTGTTTGAATTGTTGTGAGCGCACAACGCACTTGGCAACCGAATTGCCAAGTGTCAGGGAAATTCGACCCTAGCGACTAAAATCGTCAAGACCAAAGGTCCATCGAGGACCGATATCGCTGACGCGAAGGTCAGCGCGGAGCGCTGACCACACAGGTTAATGCTACCGCGGGCGATCCCGAGGTAGCAACGGGAAACCAATATAAGACCGCCGAATCGAGCGATTAGGCAGTCGGTCTGAGAACTCCACGACGTCGCGTTGAAACATTTACGAATCGCAAGACGGGAACATTAAATAAAGAACACCTCGTCCAAGCCAAGCTCTAGTATATTTAATAAAGTGTTAAAGTGGTGTTTAACAAAGTGTGATCATTAACCGAGCCCGCCAGACGCCCTCATCCTGATCCTTCCGAGCTCGCGAGCGAAGCACGACCCCTTCAGCCGTCTGAACGGCTAACATTGGTGGCAGCGGTGGGATCTGCTCCATCTACTCGCGCAAGAGGACCGGACTTCTGAGCTCATTCACACGCCTGAAACAAAACGAGCACATTAGTGAACGACGGCAACATATCCCGGAGAGGAAAAGCCAGCTAAGACACGAGCGAAAAAGACGGTAGCAGCCGCGAGTGCAGAAGTGACACCGGAGACGGCCACGACCTACCGCACGGCATCACCGGCCCGAGCGACGACGCAGGGACACAGCGAAGCAGCATAGCAGCGCGGCAGGGACGCAGCGACAACAGGGACGCAGCCAAGCAGCAAAGCGGCCCGACGACCTGGCGATGCAGACGGACAGCAACATGTGATTCGTGGCGATATTGTAAGTGCGAAAATTATTATATCCCCGAGCGCTAAGTAGATGTCGGACGACCCGAACCGACAGACGCCCGCCCGACAAGCGTCGTTCGTCCATAGCGAGTCCGCGCACCGCGCTTCGCGTAATCTAGCTAACCCGGTGAGTGCGACGCGATCCGAAAACGAAGGGTTAAACCGGCCCGCTGAAAG